CCTACGCCGACGGCCAGAGGCCCGCGCATCTACATTTTTTCGCCTGACCCCATCAGTGCCGACCCAACTACACCACCACGCGCATGCCTCGCGGCGGATATGCGCAGCAGCAAGAAGGTTTCGGTCATCCCTTGAGGGTGAGTCTAGCCCTGCTCGCCAGAAAGACCCCCCCCTTCACTACAACCCATGTCTAAGCAAAAGCTTGTCGAGGAGCGAGGGGAAGAAGTAGGAAGTGTTATTAGCAAGGAATTGTCTAACTTACCCATCAATTTTTTCTTACCTATCAAACTGGGGGCAATTTCCCCGCAAAACCCGTTTTTCACATGAAATTCATGCCGGCCTATGTAGCCTCGATTGAAGTAAAGTCTCGAGCATCTCCAAGACCCCATGACTGCCGCACAGCAGGTATCAGAGTGGTACACCAGTCGTGCTCGAGGTTGCAGGGCAAAACTGGCTTGTCTTGCTGGAGGAGGAGCTGATGGATGACTGTGATGGCACCAATCTCGCTGAACACCAGTTGTTGCACACAGAAATTTGACCACCTCTCGCTCGCGGCGCTCCTCGCAGAGAACAAGACCCAATGTCACAACCATCTTCAACAAGCCATGACTGCTGTGTAGCAGCGATAATAATAGAGCAGTAGCACCGGAGCTGATGTGCGACGTGATTGAATACTGCTGCTGCGGTTGTTGGTTTGCTGCGACAGACATCTAGGTATGTGTTCATCATGTGTTTTTTTATCGGCGGCGGTCATCTGATGCAAGCGGCAACATGAACAAGCCACGGCAAACAAACGGATCGGCGAGGCACACGCCACGGACACAAGCTACACAGCTATGCATTACAGCAGAAGGTTAAGTGTGCAAGGCTGTCAGCTGTGACCGTGACTCACCCTCCGCTGATGAAATGACGAAAGGCGTTCTCTGATGCGTGAGCGCCTCCCACAGCAGTAGTAGCAAGCAGCAGAGCATCAGCATCATCAGCCCAGCAGTCAGTCACTTTACATAGATTCCACCATAATGCGTCCCCCTCCGGTGTTTGCCATCGGGGTTGGGTTTTCGTCGCTTGGCAACGACGTCGTAAAACAAGCCAATTCACTTCGTGAACTCAGCAACCAGGTTACCAGGTTTTTTTTTCTCCGGTTTTTTTTTTGGCGGTAACCATAATGGTGGTCGAGTAGATCATGTTGTGCG